CAATTTTGCTAGGGAAAGAAATTGAAGTGCTCTTTTGACAGCTTTTTATACATATGGATATGTGTTTTCTTTGCCATCTTTTTACCTAATTAAGTTTCTCCCTGGTGTTGGACACTGCAAAAAAAACAATATTTTGCTTCTTTAAGTGGTGAAAAATACTACCATGGGAACAAACAGTGAGGAGCATGGAGGATCTGGGGTAAAGTGATCAAAATTCAAAGCTGTATTCAGTTCATGTTTCTTGTCAATTACTTACTGATTTTATTTCAACTTTAAAAGCTTGATCACTTCTATACCTATGTCAGGTAACATATCAGGAAATGGGAGAAGATGAAGTGAAGGACATTCGAAATGTTCCAGTAGGACCTATACACAAATTAATAGCAGAGAATACCAAGTCGAACAGTATGGTTATAAAGGTAACTAGCAAAGTCTCAGTTTCCTCGTACAGACATATAATGTTGTATGTTCCGTTGAAACTTAACCAATGGACTTATTAATTGTTACCAAAACAGAAACCACATGTGGTGATTCCTCCTCATATCATAGCAGAAGCCATATCAACGATCCGTGATATTGACATTAGATGGTCAGGTCCAATAACACAGAAAGAAATGGAATATGTTGAACAGTATGTACTTGCAAAGTACCCTGAATATGCAGGCCTAATTGAAGGAGATGGGAATGGCATAGACTTGTCTAGCTTTATTATCAATGAGGAGCCTTCAGAACCCTTGTCAGAAGATAGGAAAAAGTCACCAAGAGGGGCCTTTAAAGAACCTTTGTTTGGCAATAATCTCCCTGAAATGGATAGGACCCAGTTGGAGCCATCAAGACTACTAGACATTCTCAACAAAAAATCCTCCTTTCCAGGAAGTTTCATCTCAATCCCAGAAATCCAAGCCCAAAATAAGGTTTTGAAGCATTGTGGGTTGCCTGATAATGATGAATACCTTGTTCTCTTCACTCCAAGTTACAAGGATGCAATGATGTTGGTGGGGGAAAGCTACCCTTTTGTTAAGGGAAACTACTACATGACAATTCTTGGTGAAGAGGAAGACTATATCAGGGAATTTGCTTCTTTTAAGGAGTCCAAGGTGATTGTGGCACCCAAGAGTTGGCTGGATTTGAGGATAAGAGGGTCTCAACTTAGCCAAAATTTTAGGAGGAAGTGTAAGGTGAGCTTGAAGGGCTTATTTGCCTATGCAGCAGATGTGAATGGAACAAACCACTGGATCTCAGAGGCTCATAGAAACTACTGGCATGTTCTGCTTGATGCCTCTGCATTGGTTGTGGGAAAGGACAAGCTGTATCTTGGCCTCCACAGGCCTGACTTCTTAGTCTGTTGTCTTGATAACACTCATTCCAATCCTTCAAGAATCACTTGCCTCTTGGTGAGAAAGAAATCTTTTGACACCTCCACTGCTTCGTCTCAGGTCAATGGATGAGTGAGAATGAGTATTTGTTTGATATTCAGATAAAATTTGAATTGCGTAGCAATTAACAATGTCTTAATTTGTATCATGTACTCGGTTTAACCGTGAATTTTCCTGGCGTACTTTGTAGATTGAATAAAAGATTTAACACATTCATAGAGAAAACCACTCAGATGTAATATCAGTATATGTATTCCTCATCATTTGGGTGGTTTATATTTGTTGATGTTGGGATCCTTGTTTGGTTTTTGTGGCCATATCATTTTTCTATAACAGTTAATCTGTTTTAAAGAAATTTTATGCCTTATTATTTATCTTGTCGGGAAGTACTCAAATAGTCAAAACATGCGGTTTTTAACTGACTAAAGACTGATTTAATTACCACCATGAATATTTATCATCTTTAAAAAAAATTGAAGATTGAGTAGGGAAAGGAGATATGATGACTCGGCGGA